AGCAACAGCAACAGCAACAGCAACAATTATCACCACAAACCGCCGTCCATCATCAACTTAATGCTCATTTACAACTGAAATTCGAGCCGTATGACAATTTTCAGTTAAACGACGACGATTGCACACCAGACGATGAGGAAATTTTGGATTACATTTCTTTATGGCAGGATCAGTAACTTGACTTTAATATTATTGACAATGCAAAGTAAGCTAAGAATATAACAACAAAAAGACTGTTAAAATTTTTTACAAAAAAAGAACAAAAACAAAAAAAAATCTCTTCTTTGTTTTTTTCTTTCTTTTTTTTTTTTTCTTTTTTTTCTTTTTGGACCCGTTCACCTACATATAAGTATTCCTTTTCAAATATATATTTTATATTTAGTACACGACTTAGTTTATTTTTTATTTTTATTTTGTTTTGCTTTTTATTTTTTGGCAACTAGACTTATATTATATTTATAAGTTGCCTTTAGTATAAACAGTTCATTTATATAACTATCAGGGATTTTTTTTTATTTTTTTTATTTGCCAGTGTATATATATATATATATATATATATATATATTTATATTTATATATATGTATATAATATATATGTATATATATATATATATATATATATATATAATAATTTAATAATCCTTTTTATAGATTTTAAAATCTAGTCAATTGATATTTTTCGATTTTCCCAAGTGCCTCATATGTCTGTATATTTATATATATATATATATATATATGTATATATATATATACATATATAAATAAATATAAATGTGTGAAATTAGAATAAATTTATTTTTACAAATTTTTCTTTTAAGTGTAATCATATTTAATTTTTATTTAATTTACAAGCAAAATAACCGAAGGAAGACAATAAAAGGAAAACAACAAATTTTAGAAATAATATCGCTACACATATATAAATATATATATATATATATATATATATATATATATGTGTGTTATATAGTTTTTAAGCCAACTAAATGTGAGATATTTGCAAGAGAAATATATATATATGTGTATATATAACAAGAGTCTAATTGTATAAGCGAAGAATAAATCTTTCATTGATGATGATATGGAAATGTTGGTTCATTTAATTTGAAAGTTTCTCGGGGTTCTACGATAAACGGACAAATGGCTTCTGCTCAATGTCATCTATGCCAAGTTTATCAAAAACAGTAAGATTAAATAGAGGTTCGTTTTTTTCGTACCTCCATTTGAAAGAAAAAAGCGATTGAGGTAATCACGAAAATATTGTGTTGACGTAGAATGATCTCGGACTGTCTCTAGTCCTGTGGACATCTTGAAAATTATATCATTTTATGAGAGCGACTAGACTAACCGTCTAATGTTCCTTTGAACCGATAGTCTTAGTTGCCAGTGCCCACTTTGCCTTTTTGGCCCTAGAATTTCTATCTTCGATCTAATAATCCTAATAACAATGTTTTTATGGAGAACAAAGTTAAGTCACTTGACGCGAGTAAAGTAAATATAAGTGCAACCTATAAGCGACGACAGCAAGGTAGATAATTATTGTTCTAGCATTAAATACGTGAATTGGCGCTGTGTGGAGCTGATGAGGTGATGAGATTAGTTTTTGTAGAAAAGCAATACGTAGTTCAAAATGTGTTGAGTGCGGCGAACGCTCAGATCACTTTTTCGACCACTTTTACACATTCACATTCACATATTCTTAAGTCTTCGTTCCATTACCAAACGTTTAGTGGTGAAAAAAGCAAACAAGAAAGAAGAAACAAATGGCGTCAGCAGGTCAAAAGAAATGTTAGGGAAATTCAATTTCGATACTTTATACGTCGCGGTATGTGATAAAAGCGTATGGACCGACAAATAAATATTTATAGACTCCATGAATTTCCTAAACCCGAGCAAGCCTAGCAAAACTATCGTCCAAAATGACCAATCGCGTCCACTTTCATTAAAACTGAACGCGCTAATAACTCTAAAGAACTTTAAAGATCGTAGAACGGCCACTTCTGATTCTCACTTAGGTATTCCTCTATGGGGAATTCAAGCTTCGATGCATCTATTCAACAATACAAATTTTTGAGCCACTGACCACTTCAGCTCCGATCTCGGTCATTTAAAGCAAACGAATAACAATTTTTCGCATCCAAACTTCGGTTTCTATGATTGGGTCGCTTTTAGGGATAAAAGTGGGAAAAAACTTGATTTCAACTTAAGCAAGAGGGTATTCATTAGCAAGGGGAATGGATACTCCAGAAATCAATTTTCTATAGTTTGACAAAAAATTGCTAAATAACCGTTGCACTGCTAAGACTGCCTTTTTTAAAAGATATTTTCCCAAAGTAATTTTATTACTTTCACATGAGGTTAGAGGTTAAAAGCCTAATAATCTGCCAGAACTTGACATTGTTAAGTGTTTTTATCGCACAATGCCTTGATATTTTCTTTACATCGAATTTCCGGAATACACGATTTGAAGTCACGATTTTTCGTCAAAGGTCATAGCCAAACTACGTTCAAAGTTAGTATTTGTCAAGCGCTGATGATAAGCACAGAATAATAAAATTTCGAAAAGTTTGTGTGTAAAAGGCGTGAATTTGATTATTTAACGGGAGTCGGTCTTGTTTTTGCGCATGACTTGTAAACTTGTCAAACTAACAAAAAACAACATCGACTTTCAACTTGTGCGAATAAAGTCTTCAAATGTTGTCTCCCGCCTTTAAAATATTTTAAAATAGCTTTAGTGCTGTGTAAACCTATGTATGGAGGGTGGAGAAAAACGCCAAGGAATTCTTTATCTATTAAATAAATATATAAACGAAAAAGAGGCAAACAGAAAATATTATTAATTTTCAATTTATATAAAATGCTGTATAAATTCTCTTAGGGACATAAATTTTCATCCGCCAAAAACTGTATGTTTTTTTTTTTTTTTCAAGTATAATTTTAATAATTTTTTTTTTTTTTTTTTTTTTTTTTTTTTTTTTTTTTGTATTTCGCTTGTCATGATGTATCGAATATTTTGCAGGTAACTAAGTACGGTTTTAATAAAAATGGAAAAAAAAGAAAAAGGAAAAAAATATATCAAGTAAGGCCTCTTATATAATAACTTCTGATTAATAGGATGTTACTCATAAATTATAAATAAGAAATGCATATACAAACATATGGACATACGGTACGTAAGCTTAGGGTAAAATATGTAAACATATCATTATACTCCCTGAAAACAAGTTATGCGTATAGTGGGTTATTATAGCTATAGTGAAGTTATGATTTATGGAATAAAAAATAAAAATGTATTTATTTTTTTTGCAATTAAAAAAAAAAAAATTAAAAAAAAAAAGAAATTATTGAACTAGAGCTCTGGCTAGATATCGATTTAATTTGATATTTGATAAACGATATTTAAATCAATTATAAAGTAGAAGAAGAATATATTTTGAGTCAACTCTTCATTCGCTTTACATTTAAACAAGAATTGCTCGATAATGACGATTCTAGCTCTCTATGAAAAATTTTAAAGACTTTGCTTAACGCAATCCGAAGATGTTATCATAAAATCGAAAAAGTCGTCGTAGTCGACGAACGCTATTGCTTTAGCTCTATTGAGTATTGATTAGTTGTTATTGTGCGAAAAGCTTGTTTAATAATAAGCGCATTCCTTTATAGGATTACTTATGATTTGTGGGCAATGGCAATGCAATATGTGCAGTAAGTTGTCTTTAGATTCAGTTTAGATAATAATTGCATTTTGACATTGACTTAAATTTCATTGTAATCATAATTGATTGTTGAATGAAGAGGCAAATCAGTTGTTGTTGTTGTTCTTGTTGCTATTGTTGCTAATGTTGCTGTTGTTGCCCCAGTAAATATATTAATGCCTTGCAAGGAGTATTTGTTTGATTTTGCATGGAGTGAGGAAAACAACTTGTGTGCATGGACATGTTGGATCGCTAAAGGATCGTCACAATCTATAAAATCACTAAGAAATATTCAAGAACAACTTTTTCGCCTTAATACAAATGAAAATCGTTAAACTTGTTGACAAAATGACCTAAAAAGGAATATCCACCTAACTTCCCTTCCTTGAAGTTCGTCATAGAAAAATGGAAAATCTCGTAAGAGTGATTTAAAGGAACCGCGGAAACGTAAATTTGACTTAATATAAAACTTTTTGGCGGAGGTCTTTACAGATGATAGAAAAATAACACCAAAACCTTGCCACACTTCCCCGAATAATACGAGCTCCCACTCAAAGGAGCAAATTATTATTTTTTTTTTTTTAAATAATAATAAAATTTCTAAAGTAACCCTTACATAAGGCTATAAAAATACATTTTTCCACATTTCTATTCAGAACTTTTTCGTTTCTTTCATATTTGTTCAGAATGTTTTGTTTTCTTTTTTGGCGAATTTTTCAACTGTCATCAACATCTGCCGGCATTTTTTTTCTCTATATATATATATATATTATGTTGAGTGCCGTTAATTGAGGGTTGAAGGCTCGCCAAATCATTTGATTTATTTTCATAACTGTTTCGCTATTCAAATCATTTTAGTTACTTCCGTTGATCAATTTCACGATGTCTCTCCTAAATCAATAAAATGAAATAAAAAAAAAAAAAAACAAAAAAAAAAGAAAACGAGATAAACAAATTTCCCCATTCTCTCACACTCAGATTTACAATGATTTCCGTTTAAGATGCTTTAAGACTGCGTTTGCCAGTGCCTTGAAAAACTAAATGAATAATTAATAGGGTTAGTGAGGTAAGTGTTCTCTATCGCTTACGTTGCATAAATGCTTTCACGTTAAAGCGGGTAATAGCTTCTATCATTGAGAGGATAAATCTTACACTATACAGTTGTCATTGTGTGGTCGGTCGTGTATGTTAGTTAGTTGAGCATGCGCCTATGTATGCATTTATCCATAGATGAGAAGTAATCAGTCCTTAATGAAATTGCATGATTTCTATAAGTATTTTTCAAAATCTTGACACAAATATTTTATTATTACATTTTTCTTGAATGATATAATATTTTATAGGCATATAAATAAAAATTGTCAGAAATATCTATCGGTTCAATAAGTCGATCCTTGCATCTTAAGGAATATTTTAGTTTAAAAACAAGTAAAGACAAGACGAGTATTGGTTGATCCGTTTCGGCGGAGGTAATTAATGAA